CTGAATGAAGCATCACTGTTGCCCGCCAGAAATCACAAATGCTAAACTAATACCAAACATTAACTAACCACTGTGAAATCCTTAGTAATAAGAGCTAAACTTCTCTGAGTATTACTTAGGTGCTAAGTGCTAAACTTCAATGGTTGATCTCATTTAATCTTTACGACAATCCAGTGGGGAAACTGAGGCTCGAGAATGTTTAGTTTCTTACCCATAATTAACATATGTGCCTTGATCAATTTAAATTGCTGATCGTAAATCCTTCCTCGGTCACTTTATTTCTCCAATTGTTTGGTGTTAGGTGAGCCCCCGCAAAGGAGGAAAAAGAGCCAGTGCATCTCAGTGATATTAACAGATGGCCTGCTGCTATTATCATCAACAGGTGCCTAATGTGGGTTTGTTTAGATGGAGAGACAGAAATCATCTCTTAGCTTTAGGCTTAGTCACAGATGGAAGAACCAGAGTAGGGGTGTGCTTGGAAGGTGGTTGTCAATCTTTCTTCTGCATCACACCTAAGGGATCAATAAAATCCACTCTCATCAGCAGCAGTGGCTCAGCACAGCAGTGACTGTCACAGGGCCGGAAGTGCTTTCCTCTGCCCATCAGCAGGTCTGACCAAAATAGCAAAGGGCCAGACTGAGCTGCTCCTATGGGGTTGCCCCTTACCAGATATGAAGCATTTTCATCGCTGTCACTTCATTAGCCCTTCACAGCAGCGTGATGTAGCACCATGCCTGCATTTTAGTGTATCAGACAGAACACAGAGGCAGCACAGGATAGCACAGAGGTGGGATATGGGCTCTGGATCATATAAACCTGGTTTCAAATCCTGCCTCTGCCACTTAGAGCTATGAGATTTGGGCAAGTTATTTAGCTTTCTGAAGCTTTCTGAAGTCTAGGCTTCCATGTGTAAAACAAGAATAATGATAATAATAGTGCTCATTTCATAGGTTTAATGTAGTACAATTATTTAGCAGAGTACTAAATGGTACATAGTAGGCACTTAACACATGTTAACAAAAGCTCAACCATCCATTGACACCATCCATGGAGCTTTGGACAAGTGATTCAAGTCTGAACCTGCTTCCTCTTCTGTAAGATGGGTAAAATAACCCTCCTGCTAAGCTGTGTAGAAGATTACAAGAGAAAAATGTGTCTACATAGTAAGTACTCAATAAATGGTAGCTACTTTTAACCACCCAATGAGATGTAAGGACAGGTAGTAAGACAAATGTGGCAGTAAAGGATTAGAGGGGACAGACCTCGCTCTGACAGAAGCTGCCAATGAATAGAGAGGGGGTGAAAGCTACTGTCCACTACGGCCCTGACCTTGTAGAAAAAAGAGGGGTGGGCTCAACAGTACTGGCCTCCAGAGTGGACTGGAAACATGAAATTCCTACCTGGAGGGGACTGAGATCTCTCTGGCCTGAGTCCTGAAGGAAGGCCACGGCACAGGGATGATCTGACCACACGGGGTTGGAGGTGAGGTTTGCGGACTGGTGTTACAGTGTCAGATTTCTTGAGAGCTGCAAGGGCTGGTCTGAGAAAGCTGGACTTCAATGGGAGGCTCAACAGCGTCTGAGGTGGATCCTCACTCCCAGGTCAAGCCAGCCCCCTGGAGGGACATGACACCCCTTCTCTGTGAGTGAAGACAGGGATGATCTGACCACACAGGGTTGGAGGTGAGGTTTGCGGACTGGTGTTACAGTGTCAGATTTCTTCAGAGCTGCAAGGGCTGGTCTGAGAAAGCTGGACTTCAATGGGAGGCTCAACAGCGTCTGAGGTGGATCCTCACTCCCAGGTCAAGCCAGCCCCCTGGAGGGACATGACACCCCTTCTCTGTGAGTGAAGCAGGGCAGGAATCCTTGTGCTCATTTTTTACATGGAGAACACAGAAGTGACTGGCCGCAGGAGAAGTTTTCTGATTCTCAGTCCCCTTGCAGTCCAGCCCCCTCCCAGTAATGGGCAGATGTGGGGGAGGACAAGGGGGCAGCTCGCGCTCCTGATGGGCTGGGACTGGCCCTATAGCGCCCTCTCCGAGACCTGCCATAAGGAAGGGCCTATTCGTGGTAGAGTCAGGCCGCCCCCCACCCGGCACCCCCCGGCGGACCTCTTCTCACCTCTGGGCCTGCCCTGGGGGCGGCGGGCGCAGGCGTGTGGCAGCGGCGGCTGTCGCACGATGAGCGCTGGCGGCGGGCAGGATCCTGGCGCCGCCTGGGATGGGACTGGGGCCGGGGAGGGGCTCGCTCAGCGCGGCTGGCTCAGCGGCCTCCCGGGACTGGGAAAGGGGCTGGAGCAAAAATGTTTCTTATTCCAGCGTCTTCCTGCCTGGCCCGGCTCCACCACTCCCTCCTAATAAACAGTTTCCTATTGCCCAGCTCGCCGACTGGCCGCCTGCTTGCCCCTCACCGGGGCTGCAGGACCCGGACCCTCCCTCACGCTGCTCCCCGACCCCGGAGCAGCCACCCCCTCAACCGCCCCCAGCTCCGGGATCACGGCCTGCACCCCCGCTCAGAGCCTCCCACATCGGCCTCCCCGAGGGGGCCGCATGGGGTCCGGACAAGA